TCCTGTTACCGAAAATATTGTATATCCTGAGGTACTTCTTGACTAAATTTGATATTGTAGATTTATGCTATGATTTTTGTACAATTTTTTTAATTACTGTAAATAAGTGTATGTGAATGGATATAGAGATTGGAATAAAAGAAGTGTACCAGAACTGGGATTTAAGATGAGTACCAAAACTGGGATTAAAGATGTGTACCAGGGGGTCCAGGGGGCGTGCCCCTGGCAAGCTGTGACCAGTGCTGGAGGAACGGCCGAGCATTAGCGAGTGCCGTGCCGTAGGCACGGGTCTAAAGCTTGTCTATACATGAAAACACAAAGGATTGATGGCTGACAAATTCAGCTTTATCTTACTAAGCACTTCACACCCTCACGAGACTTCTCAACACGGCTTCAGGCTGCTCCTGCCTCACTGTTCCACAAACCACCACGAACTCTGATACATTATTTTGTAAGTTTCTGGATAACATTTTGATCATTATGGAAAGCCTTCAACTATTTTTAGACACCTTCAATTGACATTTTGTCCACTTGGATTGCTTCTGATCACTTTTGATGATAGGATTTCACAAGGTTTTGATTGGTTAGTTGCTTCAATATGTGGATCTTTTTCTCTTTTTTTTGGTAATCAGAATATATGCTTCAGTTGTCCTTTTGGTCTTGATGTAGGATATTTCTTTTGCTCCCTGCCTTTATTACTTAACTATCATTTATTCCCTAGGGATTCTCCTCCTAATACTCCACAAAGGCATAGAAATATTGAGAGGGCAAGAGAGCGTCAAGAAAGGATGTTGGAAAGTCCTGAGCATAGGAGAACACCTCAAAATCCTGCTGTTGGTGGTGGTGTACCTTTTAGTCTTCCTTTCCCTATTCCACCCCCTGTTGCTCCTCTTCAAATTCCTCAAGGTCCTGTAGGTGATGATCCATTTGTTGAGGTTCTATATAATGGTCAAATTCTTCACCTTACTCCTGGGATGGCTGCACAAGTGGGTAATTTGCAAAATCAGGTAGGTTGCAGAGTTATATCTCTTTTTCTAATATTTAATATATCTTTTAGGCTCATGCTTCCCCCCTTGCTGCCCCTCCACCTCTATTTCCACCTGCTGCTATGGTAGATGTGGTAAGAAAAACCATTAGGCTATTTTCCATCTGTCTAACAAGCTTTTTTCCAGAATATGGGGCATCCTAACCAAAATGGTATTCAGTATCCACACTTACCTGCTCATTTACAGGCATTGGCTGCAGCTCTTCCACCTCTTCCTCAGCCTGTAGGAGCAAGAGGGAGGAGGGGGAGAGCTACGAAAGAAAGGAAAGTCATTAGAGCAGTGTCCACCAATGCCACTTCCAGTTTGCCTGTCTTAGGGTTTAGGTTTACTTGGGAGTCAGGAATTCTGGAAGGCGTCGTAAGTTGACAGGATCTGTCAATCAAACTTGCCTTATGTAGTTTCTCCAAGTCTTTGCACTCTGGGACTTCATCTTGATGAAGTCTGTGGTGCCCCCACCATTGTGAAACCGAAGGGCTGATCAGGACTCCTCGATGGAGGCGTGAGTGCGAGATGGCGGCAGAGAATATTCAGGGTACGCGGGAGAGTGTTTGTAATGTGGTACCACGAGACGATACCATGTTGAGAATATCCTGTGACCCAGGAAGTGGGGCAGGGTCACCTGGCGCAGGACTCTTGTATCCCGGAGGGGAGGCATAAGGCTGCCTAGCCATATAGAAATGGGGTGATTCCATCCACATGTAATGTATATTGTGGTTGCAAAGTGAGTTTATTGTTGTAAACACGATGCTATAGAACATGGGAATAAATACATGTAAATATGATGATGCTAGATCACGCAAAGAGTATATACCACTATGCCGTTACAAATCTAATATATAAAGAGAGGACGGTTGACAGTTGTTACGTAATAGATCATGTAAGCAGCCTCTTTGTCCTCGCGTCAGCGGCGTTTCCCGGGAATGTCACACGGTGTGACCACAACCACAGAACATTTTGTATTGGTAGCTCCCAACCTCATTCTGTAATAGTAAGATCCTGCATTAATTTTTTGTGAGTGTTTTTGTGGTCACACCTCTCTGAGCAGCCTCAATTTCGCTTTTTCTGTACTATTTTTTACCCCCCACTTCATTGTTAGTGTATATTTCTCCTACTTTGAGATCTATGCTGATTAAATTTCAGGTGGATTTTAGTTGCTCTACAGATTTTCATCAGTGGCCTACTGAACTGTAATTTATGGTGCATGGTATAGTGTTGAAAAATCAAAAATTATGGCCAGCTTTGTACTGCTGACTGCAGTTACAGTACCAAATGTAGGACTATATAAGTGTGGATCTAAATGTAACTTTGATGATTTGGATTAGAATAAAAATTTGAATGAGGGCAGGTTAACTTTGATGATTAAGATAAAATGAACTGGGATTGAACATATGCACTGGGAGGTTCAGGGGGCTTGCCCTGACAAGCTGGCCAAGTGCAGCCAGGGCTGCTGCAGGTTAAAGTGTATTTTTGAAAATTTCAAATAAAGTGTAAGTACCAAAACAGGGATTAGTATAACTTTGAGAAACATGTACACCACAGCTATCAGATTTTTATGAGATAGTCCAAGGGACTTCCCTTTGGCAAGCTGGCCAACTGCAGTGAGTGCCAAACCATAGGTGCAGGTCAGAGCATAATTTTAAAATTTCAAATTTAATAAGATGAAAGTACCAGAAGCTGGGGTTTTAGTGGGTATGAGAGTAGGGTGGCCTCCAGGCTGCAACTGCTAGCTTTACACAATGTGGCTGCTCTGAGTCCCACACTGCTCCAGTGTGAGCCTGCCTAGCCACAATTCCTTGGGGTGAGTTGACATTCTTCCAACAGGGTGCAATCCCCTGTCCTTGATGCTTGCGCACAAGGATAACACTGTTAACTATTGTATGCTACATAGCTTCACCAAAAAAAAAAAAAGAGAGATTGAAAATGTGCACCAGAACTGGAATAAACATATGTACTGGGGGGGACAGCTTGCCTCAGGCATGGCCAAGCGAAGTGATTGCTGTGTCCAGGTCTAAGCCTAACATTGATGATTCAGATGAAAGATATACACTAGATCTGGAATAAAGAATATGTATCAGAATGGAGATTGAATATGTGTACCAGAAATGGGATTAAACATGTGCACTGGAACTGGGATAAAAGATGTGTACCAAAACTGGAATTAAACATGTGTACTGGGGGTCCACACCATAGGTGCAGAAACTGTAACTTTGAGCAACATGTACACCACAACTGTTATATTAGTGGAATGCAGAGTTGATGTGGTGGCCACAACACTATGCTTTTTTTCACCACGCAACAACTTTCCTTAGTGAATCAACTCCAACAGGTAAATGCCCTCACTACAACTGACCATTGACACACCTGCTACAGCTTTGACTGAGTTTCAAATCCCTGATGGCCACATGGCATGCTCTGTACATACCAGATCTTTTACATTGAGGAACACCATAAAATTCCCAAAATGTGTGAAAATTTCAATCTCTTTCTTACTGAATGGTATCTTTGTTATGTAGAAATTAGGTATGGCATCACATATAGAGGTAATTTAACAGGAAAGTATGTCTCAATTTGAAGTCTGCCCCAAGTCTGCCTGATTGGTTAGGCCCTCGAGACAGAAAGCGATACAAAGTCCAACTTTCACAGATTTTCTGTATTGTGGGATTTAGTGGACAAGTTGTCGTGACCCATTTTAGTGGCTGTGACATGAACTCTGCATTTCACTATTGTATCAGATATAGTGTTTGAAAGTCCGGTTAGGTCCGGTTATTGGGTGCCCAGGGGCTCTAACCGAGACCGAGACTGGTTAGCCTTTGTCCCGAAACCTAAAATAACCTAACCGGACCGCAACTAACCGGTTACGGTTGGTTATTTGCAGTTACTAACCGGTTAGGACCGAAAAATAAAGAATCGGTTATAACAAGGCAAATATGCTCATATGTATCTTGATAGATATTATTTCTGCATATTCTAGCTTTAAAACGAGCCCAAGAACGCTAAAATCGGTGAAGAATTGACATATTTATGCAATTATCCTTGAAAGTCTACACATTTGAGTGATATTTTAGAGATTTGACTGTAACTTAGTTAAATTTTAAGTGTTTTCGACGTTCTCAAGTGCGTTTTGAAGGTGTATAATAGGGCTGGTTATAACCGGTTATTTAACGGTTAGTTAACTGCAAAATAACCGGTTATTCCATTTTCGAAATCAACTAACCCTAACCACGGTTAGGTTAGTGTTGCGGTTAGGTCCGGTTATTTTCCGGTTATTTTCCGGTTAACTAACCTAACTTTCAAACACTAATCAGATAGTCCAAGGGCTTGCCTCTGGCAAGCTGGCCAAGTGCAATGAGTGCCACTGTAGGTTAAAGTGTATCTTTGAAAATTCAAATGAAGTGAAATAAAGTGTAAGTAACAAAAGAGGGATTAGAGATGGGTACCAGAACTGGAAACAAACATGTGTGCTGGGGGAACAGCTTGCCTCTGGCAAGGCATGACTGAGTGAAGTGAGTGCTGTAGTATAAGTCCAGGTTTAAGTCTAACTATGTGTACCGAAAGTGGGATTAAATATGTGTACCAGAAGTGG